CCCCCCCCCCAAGCTTTTATGATGCACTCCGCAAAGGATATAAAGAGACGAGTTTGTCCAGCAGATCATCGGAGGAGATGAGGTGACGGTGCATGGTCAGGGTGATGTTCAGCAAGTGGCCGTTCCCGTTTACACATCCGTTTGCGTCTGCAAAAGAAAACGAACGCACACGTGCTCGAGTTAGGCGTCGCCGCTGTAAAGAGGAGGAGGTTTACAAAAACACACGCCACACTCTCAGATAAAACCTGCTCTGGTGGTGAGAATTCTTCTGCCTGCCTTTCATCAAATATAATCAACCAGAGCACATCATTAAAATGTACTATTAGAGCTGCTTTTTTTGTTGTTGTTGATTGATTATCAGAGATCAGATGGGGGTTTGTGGCATGGTTTTTGTTGCTTTTTTGGGGGGCTGGTGGGTTTTGAATATCAAATGAATATCAAATGACTCAAAGATGGCATATATGCAGTCCGTTTGGCCTCTCAGGGCCACCGTACACACACACACACACATATATGTATATATATATATATTTTTTTTAAATACAGAAGCCGCTACTTGTACTAAGATAAACCCCCTTTTGGTTTCGCATCATGTTTAACTCAAATGTGGTTTTCAGATCCATCACACAGTTTTCTCACAGAAAGTTAATCGCATAGCTGATGATGTTTTGAAGGCAAACAGAATAACATGTTGCCATGATGTTTCTTGCTTACAGCAAATAAATCTGGATCAAAATGTATATTTATGTGGGAAAATGCAGGCCAAGCTGAGGGGCGGAGTTTGAAATTTTGATATTGTGAACTAACTAAGAATAAACACACAAATTTTGCAAGCTATATAGATTTTGCATTCATATAATGTGAAGACCAAATATTATATTTCAGTGTTTTCACAACTTTACTCAAGTGAAACTTTGTGTTTATAGACTCGCGTAACAGTCTTTGTGCTCTTGCGTCTTCCGCTTTTTCTCTTGCAGCATCTGCTAAAACTGCAAATTGTTATTTCAGCTACTTGTCTGTGTGGTATCTTTGAGTTTCAGCAGCGATGCACACATACACCACACACCTTTATAAGCCCCTCATTTCCTATAATATGTGTTCACTTTGCAAACTGGAGCCAATCAAAATGTGGGACATTATGTCAGCATGCTGGACAAGAGATAAAGATGCTGTAAAGTCCAGAATAATATGAGACGCTTGGCCACCCTATCCCCAGCCAATAGTCTTGCATGCTAGATATGTTGGTGGGATGAGGGTCTATGGATCAATAGATGTTAAAGAAATACCCTCCTCCTTCTTCATTTATTTTGTACAACATAAATCCAGCATAGACATTTTCATCACTTTACAAGAGACAGTTAGCTTAAACTTATGCCCACATTCTCGTGCCATTACCTTTCCGTTGAACGCTTACCTTTTCCTCTGATTGTGTTTACTTCTACTCGCCTGTCTCACTACCTTTTTTTTTGCTTCCTTTTTCCTTGCATGTATCTGACTTCCTCTCTTTGTATGCAGACCACCTTTCCTTATCTTGGTCGTCTGACTCCACGCTATGACTGACATCGCGAAACCGCGAAAAGAAAGACAAATTTCTTATCAATGACCTCTTAAAATCGGACGAGATGAGCACAAAAAGTGATTTTCCCACACTCTCAAACAAACCACTCATCTTCAGCACAAATTCAAAAACGACTGTATCGTTCCGTAAATTTGCGGTTGACGTAAAAAGGAAGTGAATTTAATAGCAGCTCTAGACTATTTGTGTCTTTCTTCCCCTGTGGTCCCTGAAAATGGGCTGAAAACCTTAAGAACAACATTTGCGAAGTCTCAAGCTGCGTGCTGTTTCCCTTTAAGCTTTGCCAGTGTCTTTACACCATCAAGGACATCAGGCGTCTGAGGACCCACTTTTAAACAATATCACCTTGGAAATACCTTGGACGCCATGGCAACATGTTTTCTAATCTTTGTTATCTGTAAGCAACTTGCCACTGCTGCCGCAGCTGACTAATCCATCCCTCATATCCTGCATCTGGTGTGTTTGTGTTTGTAACACGCAGGCTCTGCCATCTAAACCCAGAGAATGTCAGTGACCTTACCCTCCAAGTCATTAAGAGAGTAAATGAGACAAGTGAAACACAGGGCTGCTTATAAAATGACACATGTGATACAGGTTGCAAAAATTTGGTGCAGTTTAAGTTAAGACATATGCATGCAGAACAATTCCTACTCCTTCTTGGCATTTCTGGTAAACACAGATATAATAACATTGCTTTAATCAAATTATCAGTTAATACTCTCTTAACTCACTAACACTCAGAGTCAGACCTACTGTAAAATAAAGCACAGCAGGAGGCTGTGAGTCTCCATAAGGCAAACAATTACGCCATACTTTTTTCACAACTTTCCAACCACTAACCCTCCCTGCGCAGGGTTAACTGTGGGAGGAAATCCCCTCCGGACTGGCTGTTAGTGACTGGAACATTAGGAAAGCTGCTGCCCGGCGAATGATGATAAACACTGCAGTGGGCATGCGGCCGGTGGCCTACTTTTAAGGTTATCTTCGACATTCATCGGCCCATCCAAACATGCACTTCATGTTTCCTTGTTTTGACAGAGGCTATCAGATTGGACGGTCCTTTTGTTTTAGAAGAACCCAAGTCAGATTGCCATCTCTATGTACTCTGGGCAAAATCTTCCATAATATTTAGGACTCTGTGAAACTGTGTCTGCAACACTGTTTCCATTCGTACTTTACAACAGTGATTCCCAAGCAGGAAAAAAGCAAACAAATAAACAAAAAAAAACTACTTAGATGGAGAAAGTAAAGTAAAAAAAAAAACTGCATATAAACAAATAGAAAATGATTAATTAAAAGTGGATTTAAGTGGTTAAATAAACTAAAAGCTAAAGCTCTCTGAATATAAACAGCTTAAAAATGAAAGAGTAACTTAAACCGTTTTAACAGCAAAAGATGTGAAATAGATGTTGTGATCTGTATGCAATATGTAGTTATGTAAAGTCATGAGCAAGCAACATTAATACATTTTAACAGAAAGCCAATTGCAATGAATTAAAAAAAGCTAAATGTCATGGCTAAATAACCATTAATGTTACATAGCTACAAATTGGGATTTGATGTTAGTTAATGAAGTGTCCAAGCAGTAGATACATTGCAACAAAAACATTAAAATTAAATAAATACTGAAAAATCTGCACCCGCGTTTATGTGGGAGTAGATGGGTAAATAAATACAAAAATAAAAATATTCTTATGCGATAAACAAAGTGTTGTTTTCTTCACAGCTGTGAAGATTGAGACTTTCCATTAGGCCAAAAAACCCCACCACTGTTTCTTGACTTATATAGCGTGTCTTATTCTATTGGCTTATAAATATTTTGCAAAATTTGCAAAAAAGAGGCAAATTAAATGCAAGCAGTACTGTAATAAACAAAAAAGAAAGCAAGAACAAAAAAAGAAAAAGAAATATGGGCGTGTTCTGAGCGGTCGGCACAGCCCGGTGTGGTCCAAGGAGAAAGATGATGTCAACAGCTATTGATCCACACCTCGCAGTGCTCTGCATTTCAAAGGTTGGTCAGCATCTGAGGACTACCGTTCAGGGATCTGACCTTTCAGCTCAGCCAGGCTTGAAGCTGCCATCCGGTAATCCTTCAAATAGCTCTTACGTGCACTCTCACATTTGAAAAGGTGGCAGGACTCGAGGACCTTAGGGGTCCCCTGTGATGTGAGTCAAGAGGACCAGAACTGTGATGCATTTTATCAGGAGAGGCTGTGCAAGGAAAACCCCAGTCATAACACATTATCCTGACAGAGAGACACTGTCACACACTGAGGGTGTAACTTTCAAGTGTACGGGGTCTATAGGGCTAAAACCCCTCACATTGATTCTGTATCCTGCCAACGGGAAGCCGACTGTGATTAATACCTGCATCTCTGCAGATGAATGTAGTTATGAGATGTCATTTTATGTGCAGTCCATTGTAACACTTCTCCACTGCTCTTGCTGCATTTGCGTAACCAGGCAACGGCCGTTTGAAAGCTTGTCTCTTCAGAGATGCAATCACCATAACTCAAAGAGCACTCCAGACAACTCGATGAAGCCAATGATATCTGCTTGATTGATCCAACTATAGCCTACACAATCACTGCTGTGCTGTTCTTTCATTTAAGTACGCCCTCTATATATCATGCAGCCAGTGAAATATTAATGCACAATTAATAGAGTGCAGCAAAAAGCATTTCTAAAAAAAATTAGCAAGCCTCAAACACCGTGTCCCTCAACATTAAGGCACAAAATCAGACCGACAAGAGACTTTATCTTCAAACCATGAAATCTTACACTAAACAAAAATAAAGTCAGCCTTGGTAAGAAATCACTTTTTTACTTTCCAACACGAAGCACTCCCTTCTTTCTTTAGAGGCCTGCCTAAACTTGTTGCTGGTGAGAGAAAGTGGTGAGAAAAACAGACTCCTTAAGCTACAACATTCCGTGATCTCGCTTAACCTGAAGGTTTAATGTCTTCTGATATCCAAAGGACTGCATAACCTGTTACACAACCACAGAGCACAAACACCCTCTGGAGTCTTTTGTTCACTGCAGGACTTCACCTTGTAAAACAAACCAGCCAAGAAGGTCAGCGCTAACTTACCAAAAGACTGCAGGCAGGCTTGGATGAGCTCCTCCCAGGTTGCGCCCTTGGTAAGGTGTCCCAGAGGCATTACTGATTTACTCGGCGGGGTATGGGCCGGGCTAGGTTTGTGGAACCTGTGAGGCCGACCTGGAGGAGAAACTCTAGACCTGGAGGTGCATCCTTGAGTCACTCTCCTTGAGAAACACCAACACAAGAAGAACAGTGAGGGGTGGAGGAGGTACAAGAGGGTTAACTGCAGTGAAAGCGTGCCTTTCTCCTTTTGCTATTAACATGTATGACTGTACATGCACTCTCCTTAAACCATGATTTTACGAGAGCACGGGTTATTAGCCCACACGCATGAAAGGATTTGTCCCACAGTCACACAACTCGAAGGTGTTATTTACACTTAAGAAACCCCCGTGGTGTGTTTTGCTAGTCATTGTTCTCATTTCCTTCCTTTAACTTGGGGAAATACCAGCTGATTGCGGACATCCACATTAAACTCTCGAGTGACCAGAGTAAAGAGCTTACAAATGGAACAGTTTTACGCATGTAAGCGCTTAAAGCGTAGCAAGTCTGGCCGCAGAGAAGCGGGTGAACTTGAACACGCTTGTGCGCAATAACAAGTGGAAAGCATCAGTTTTTGACACCATTTCGGCCAAAATTACACATTTAATATTAACAAAAGCTGATAGTGGGAATAACCTTCCTATACCTTCGATCAGGTGCCCACGTTTTCACCAAAGAAAACCAACCAGAAACTCCTCAGTAAAAGCACAAAAAGATGAGCCGACTTACGCTTCGTCTCTGCCCTTTTCCTCTGATGTTATACTTTCGTTTTGGTTTTCTTTTGACTGACATCCCATTGCGAGGTACTGGGCGACGAGCGGTTGAACTAGGCTGTCCATCTGTGTCCTCCTCGATGGGAGCATTACATCGCTCTGCTGGGCTCGGTGCGCCTCCGCGGTCTCACAAGCATTGTGCTGACTCGTCAATGAACGTTACACAATTAAGATTCACCCAGCCTGTCTGTGAGTGGGCGGCCGTGCTGCTGCTGTCGGGCTTGTCACTCACACGGAGTGGACTCCGCGCTTCACTAGTCATTATACTTGCGTCAAAAGTCGTGCTCTAGATTTATACTTGAAGATTTTAATCACGGAAGCGGCGCAGGGGGAGCTCGTTGAAGTCATTCCATCCAAGAAAATGAAAAGCACATGTTCCTATTATCTCGCTCTTTTGGCACTCTAACAATGATTTAGAACTTGATCACATATTATTTTTATTTTTTTAATTTTCACATTTTCCTGCTATTCCATAACAATTCACATTATATTCACATAACCAGAGGTTAAAAATCCCTTTAACATGAGGTCGTTCTGGATAATCACTGCGTAATGTGATTCTTCCTTTGGTTTACTAAAAGATGTTGTTTGTTCATTCTGCAGAACAGGAAAGGGTGGATCTTCCTTTAACAGATAACAGAGGTTGCAGGTTCCATTACCACTACAGCTTAAATCAGGGATTGTGTTATTGTGCTGTAGGTGGTCCAAAGAAGATGTTTCCTGAAATCTTTCAGGAGCTTTAAGAAGTCTCATCACCTTCATCCAAACGTAGATAGGGGAATTATGGCTGCTCACATTTTACTCCAGAGGCCACGTTTTAAATTGAAAATAGTCTCATTCATTTTAAACTGAAGCCCATTTCTGAGATATTTTTCCTCAAGTGAGAAATGGGACGTACCTGAGTTGGTTTCTAAATTACACTCAGGCCAGCTGGCAAGTTAAAGGTAAGACGAAAGCCTGGAGAAGTTTGATCCTCTAGTTCTACCCCCCTGTCATAAACAGATAAACAAATGATCATCCAAATCATACTAAATCAGCTCTGGAGCTTTGCATTTGAATTTTCTGTCTGGCTTTAACGCTACACTAAAGAACACCATAAAAGAAGGATGCATACACATCTGTGAAGACTGTGATGTAAGAAAAGCTGAGGCATCTCTGTCATTAAACCTACTATCTCCAGTTCCCTTTAGTCAGCATGGCTGTGAGGGGAAGGTGCACGCCTGAACCTGAAAAGGGGGAGTTAAAAAACATCTTAGTGGATGATTATTGTTTCCTTCTGTAAGGCTTGTTCGTGACAAGAGAATTTTTCGTGTTTATCAACGTCACTTGCAATGTGAATCATGCCCCTTGACTGAGTGAATTCGACTGGCATCAAAGCGCTATTAACTCCACATCAACGGATTTAAACACATGAGCCTCCCCCATTGGCCACAGACGACAGGTATGAGTATAAAAGGTTTTGAAATCCAGTTATTATGCATTTGTCTGTATTCATTTTAACTGTGCAGGTTTCATCTAATTATCTATAATCTTAAAAAAAAAATTGATTTGTACTTTTCTGTGTGTGTGTGTGTGTGTGTTAGTTGGGCTATTTTAAATGTGAAAATTAACACACTGGTCCATTGTTCTCACTCACACACCCAGGATTACTCAGGTCAAAAGGTTTTCTGCTTCCTGCACACTGGAATATCCTCCCTTTGAATAGATGACTACATGCATGCCATCTACAGATGACCAGCAGCTTGGGTTCATGTGTTAGTTTGAGCTCATGGGGCAGAGTGAAGTCATGAGAATATGTGTAAAGACCAGCTGGCTGCTTGTGATAAGATAGTGTATCGGCACCCTTTTTTGTGTCTCTGCTGTTATCGGACTGCTTGGTGATACCTTTACAACTTGCCCCCATGCATCCAAGTGCACTTCTGAAGCAAACTTCTCACTCTCTCTCTGTCTATCTTATCCCAGTGCTACTTGTAGAAATGTGCTGCTTGAGATAAAACACACACACACACACTAATTTTCTATTACTTGAAAATACTGGTGCTCTCTGAGTCTCCACCCAACCTTAAACAAACAGAAAAAGGATCCTGATGTGAAAGAAAATGGTAGCCTTTTAAACACATGCCAGGTACTTTTCTTTGATAAGCTGCACTGTTTCAGACATGTGATAAATTTAGGTATATCTGTTGATTGCCATGCACTCCAAGTGAATGTGCAAATTTAGAAACATGAAAATGACATTTGATGATTAAAGAAAATAAGACACCGACAGTCACACAGTACATCAAGTAGGCTATGTTGCTATTCTGGTAGTCAGTGGTCACTGGTGTAAATGATGTCACAGAGTGTCACATTCAAGGAAGAAAGAGTCAAATACCTTGGACCTGCAGCCGTTAACTCAATAGTTGAGCTGTGTACACCCCCTGGTGGATATATTGAGTCATCTGCTGTCCAGCTGAGAGGATGATGTCTTTTTGCAGGTACTGGAAATTAGCCTCAGCATCTTTTGTACAAATACATCAATCACCATCCAGGAGAAGACAGTACTTTCTGTGCAAGCTCTTTTCTTCAAATCACAGTTTCCCTTCAGCAGGGAGATTAATTGAACTTGGGTCTGACCACCAACCTCTGTAGCAACTGTTTTTGTTGAGGTTTTTATGCTCATTTGACGAAAATTGAGCTGAACTCGTGGTTATGGAGGGTCACGAGTGCAAAAAAGAATTTAACAACTGAATTGTTAAATAGTGAATTAAATGGGTCATTAATTAATTAAAAATGGAAATAGAGTACTAAATAATTCATCAAGTGGTTTAAATGATGATAATATAATTGTAATCATTTATTTATATATTAAATTAATTAATCATTTCCCATTTTAATTAAATAAAAAAAAATATAATAATAATAATTTTGGCACTCGTTGCCCTCCATACTCTGTCATCCTTGTTTTAAAATGCTGGAAATATGTAAGCACGACCCATAACTGACTTGTGGAGTTACCTTCATTTGTCATGGGAAACAAAAACATTTTTTAATCCCAAAGAGCGTCCCTAAAGTCAGAAATGAAATTTAAAAAAAATCGGTTTGTTGCTTTACGCAAAGTTTCCGATAGCCATAAATGTAATTTTAAAAAACTGTGTTAGTTGTTGTTTTTTTCTGGTGATGTTTTTTTTATGGAGTCAAGGCGCTCGAACAATTAAGTAACGATGAGCTCGTGAACGCAACATTCCCGGCCAGCGAGCTAATCGCAAGCAGCTAACAGCCTAGCCGCTAACCGTTGATTAGGGACAAGGATATCTCCAAGTCAACAAATACACTGTTTTATTCGCTGGAAACAGCTCGTATATGATTTAAAATGATTGTGGATGATGTAAAACTACTGACTTACTTCAAGGGAGCGAGAATCAAATTGACCCTCAAGACTTCATCGTTTTTCGGGGTCGTGAAACGTATTTACCCCAACAAAGCTTTGATTTTGGCGGACGGTTAGATGTTTTTAATAATGTTGTACTTTATTTATGAATTTTTTCTGTAATATAAGAGAGTAAAACTGTTAAAAACTTTATATTAGTGTCTTGGAAAGATAGCTGTGGTTTCTGGTTTGTTGCAGTTGTCAATAGTGATGGCTGGAGGTTTCCCGGAACAAAAATTTTCTTTGGCCATGAGATTCTGAATGGTAAGTTCACTCATGAAAAGTAATACCTGAACAAGTTTGTACCAAGCTGCACAGTATTCTTTCATTGTTTATTCTGATATCTGGCTTGACTTTTTATATAATTAATTCAACAGTGGAATTTACCAGTGATGGGAACGGTGACCGTGAGTAAGTAAGACATGCATGAGGTGCCACTTTTGGTGAGAATGCCTTTTGCCCTGGCTTGTAATAAATTTCAATGCACAAAACTGTGCACAGAAATATTCACCATCACAAACCTGAGGACCACTTGGATGTAGCAAAGTTTCAGCCATACAGGAAGACAGGCACATTGGGTGAGTTCATTTATTCCACTAAAGCTGATGATGAACCAGTTACACCAGGGGTGTCAAACCTAAGGCCCGTGGTCCTGAATGGGCTTGGGAAAGCTTTGGAAAATATGAAGGAGGCCTGTATGCTAATGGTCATTTATACTACACCAAAGTAATTAAGTAATAGATGAACACCTAAATTACATGTTTGCTTGTTTTCTACCCACGGTAAAAAAAAAAAAAAATCACAGTAAATTATTAAAAACTTTAAATTTTATAATTAAAGGAATATCTGGTACCAGATTCTTTTCTATAATTTTATGCAGTTGTGAAAACACAGTTGTTTGTTTCTTACAAATTAAGCCAAAAAAGATGTCCTGACAGGATTATTTTCCTTTATTACAACAGCATTTCTTTATTGTGCAGAAAGAATTTGACGTAGTGTTGAAATGACCCTTTTTTGCTCATATTGAGTCGTCTCGGGGATTACATGTGCCATTCGCATTGACACGAGGTTGTCCGGCCCACTAGGTAACATGAGCTACACATTTGTTTTGAACATCTCACTTTTGAGAGGATTTTTCTTTTTCTTTTTGCAGATGATGACGAGGAGGATGAAGAGTACATCAACTACGTAGTTGTTGATGAGTTTCATGAGAAGTTCGGACCTACTGTAAGTTTATTTGATGTTTGCTTTCTACTGTGTAAATGACTCAGATTTCTTTGACCCATGTACCGTATCCAAATGTGTTAGATAATGCACATCAAGAAACAGCACGTGATCGGTGTGGGAGCAGAAGGAGTTGAGGTATTTAAGAATGGACGACTGTGTTGGCTGCAGGTGAGAAGGTCGTCGGTCTTTTGGTTTTTTGTTCCTTCTCCATCATGAGGACAGAAAAAGGAAAATAACTTAAACCTAATTCGTCTAGATTGCCACTAAAAACAAAGTATACCTATTTGATGTCCTGTTACTTGGAGCCCGGGCTTTTAAGAATGGCCTCGCCATGATCCTGGAGAGCAAGGACATTTTAAAGGTGACAAATAACTGCATTAGAAGCTCTCTTAAAATTATGGCAGTGATTATGATTACCGTAGCATATTGGTTTGATATTTGTTATAGGTCATCCATGACTGCAGAGCCATTGCTGGATGTCTGATCGCTCAGTTTGGAGTAAAGCTGGCAAATGTCTTTGACACTCAGGTACGTGCGCAGTATGCACATTATTGCTAATCTTTAGATTATTCT